TAAATTATCAGCATGTTCCCTCCCTAAATTAGCTGTCATATATCACGTTATCCAATTAGTGTGAAGGTCAAAGGTTCCCTTCCTCTCTCTTTCCCGGGCTTTTCCCTCCTCCCTCTTCTGCTCTGCATTAACTCTAAAAATACCAGACAGTTCTGCATATTGTCAAAGCAAGAATATACAGTATTTGCAGCGTTGACATTGAGCCCTCAAGACATGGCTTTTCCAGCAAGCGGGCCTGACCTAGGGAGGATTTTAGGTAGGGATGATTTTAGAAGCAATTTTAATTGGAAACACAGCCGTCAATATTTGGTTTTTAATTCGGTTTTTATTGGGGTTTATATTGTTGTATTTTTGTATTTTTATTTGTGTATAGTATCTGTTTTTTAAATATGCTGTGAACCGCCCTGAGTCCTATGGGAGAAGGGCGGTATATAAATTAAATTAAACTTGAATAATCCTGGGAGAGTGCAACTGTCATAAATGCCAGTTGCCCAGTGCCTGAATTTTGATCATGTTACCACAGGGATGCTACAATTGTATAAGTGTGAAAAATGGTCGTAAGCCACATTTTTCAGTGCTGTTTTAATTTCAGTCACTAAACAAATGGTTGAAAGTTGAGGACTACCTGTACTGTAACACCTTTTCTAATGGCATGATACACATCCAATTCCTTTGGGGAATCTGACAGAAAGAGAACTAATTTAAGGAACAAAAAAGGAGATCTGTACATCCCATTTATATTTTGCTTTCCAACCCCTAGCAAGATATATTTGTGACTACTTGCTCTTCAGTGATCACAATCCTATCAATTAGGCAGGACAAAAAAAAAAAGGACACGCTTAAAATCATGCACTGATCTTCACAGAATAACAGAGTTGGCAGGGACCTTGGGGGTCTTCTAGTCCAACTCCCTGTTCAAGCAGGAGATGCTAAGAGGCTCGGTGGTGCACTGGTTAGAATGCAGTATTTGCAGGCTAATTCTGCCAACTGCCAGCAGTTCGATCCTGACCGGTTCAAGGTTGACTCCATCCTTCCATCCTTCTGAGGTCGGTTAAAATGAGGACCCAGATTGTTGGGGACAATATAGGCTGACTCTGTAAACCGCTTAGAGAGGGCTTTAAAGCAAGGTGAAGCGGTATATAAGTCTAAGACAGACATGTCAAACACAAGGCCCAAGGGCCGGATGCAGCCCGCGAAGTGGTTTCATGTGGCCCGCGAAGCCATCCTGGAAACAGTGAGGGAACGGCCCCCTCTGCCTTGGCCCTGGAAGCCAATGTACAATTTTGTGGTGGCCATCTATGCTGAAACGCATTCAGTCTTAGCTCCATAACCACCACCCCCATGGCCTGAGAGGAACGGTGAGGCTCGTCTAGTGGACCATGCCTTGGCAATTGCCCCGGTCCCACTCCCTTCTGCCAGAGACCCTCAGTTCTGTCCCACTCCTGCCCAGGCCCCCACAGGCACCCTTGACACGAACGATGTAGAGCTGGCCACATCCATCCAGTAGGCCACACCCACTCCATCCACGCCCACCCAGTAGGCTGCACCCACCCTGGTCACACCCACCCGGCCCCCCGAGGGCAACAGCAATGCTGATGCGGCCCTCAGTGAAATTGAGTTTGACACCCCTGGTCTAAGAGCTATTGCTATAATGCTATGGCTACTTCAGGCAAATGGTAAGACAACTCTTAATAGTAACGGACGTTTCAAGCCTCACGTTTCTGGGTACTGGTGTCTGATTCGCCATCCACCCCAGAGGCCTCAAACAATACCTGCAAATCATTTTGAGGATTCCAGTCCGAATCGAAAATTATGCAGGTATCAGCCGCTGTGAGGTTGATGCCCAGACCTCCTGCCCGGGTGCAGAGAAGGAATACAAAACGATCCGAATCAGGCTTGCTAAAGCGGTCGATGGCGGCTTGTCGCAGATTGCCGCGCACCCGCCCATCAATACGTTCATAGAGATACCTGCACAGGAAAGATACAGGATTCTGTCAAACAGCTTGGGACACCGATGTCAACTTCTGAACTCATCCGTCTTTACTGCAAGCACCCACAAACTTGCCTCTAGTTCGAATTTTTTTTTATAAAAAGGAAAATCCCAGCGATCACAAATTCTGAATGAACGATGTAACAATGGATCATGTAAAGAAATTGCGCCACACTTCATTCATTTATAACGAATAAAATTATAAAAATTGAGCACGCTGCTGCGTGCACAACATTATCAAAAAAGAACATACAGAAGCAGTTGTAATAACATACGACTGGCTTGCTGCCACAGAATTTTTATGTCTCTTCTTCTGGAAATCATGCATTTCTTGCTGCTCTGTACGATAACTAAAAGGGATCTTTTGCACACATACATTTCAGATAGAACCGATAAAGTGTAATTGTATACAGGGAAAAAAAACCCCACACTTAACTTCATCTGTTTAAATGTTGCCACCTCTATGTGAATGCACTAAATCCTTCCGTGGCTGTGATGTTTTGGTTGGATGTAACCGCATGGTTGTTGTTGTTTTTTTAAAGAAATTGTCCATTTTAAAGATAATCATAATATTAAGAATTGTAGAGGATGCCATGTTAAGATTCTCAGCGAGGAGGATTATGCTGATTGTGAAATCATGAATGTCATTTCATCAATGAAATAAGGCTGTGGAGTATTTGGTTTGGGGGCTGGGGCTGGACAGCAAGGTGACCAACCAGCAAATATTGCAGCGGGTAATACCAGATATGTCACTAGATGTCACAAAATCACAAACCGAGTCTCACTTATTTTGGCATGTCATGGGGGAGGGGGGAATTCACTGGAGAAAGCAATGATGTTTGGAAGGGTTAGCAGTAAAAGTAAACCACTCCCCTCAAAGAACACAAGGGCCGGATACCATCAAAGCTGACACCAGCCAGAGTATAGGACAGTGATGGCGAACCTTTTAGAGACCGAGTGCCCAAACTGCAACCCAAAACCCACTTATTTATCACCGGGTGCCAGGTGGGCGTGGCCCACTGGGTAGGCTTGGCTGTGGTGGTCATGGCAGATTGGGTGGGTGTGGCCAAGGTGGGCATAGTCACCTCGATGTTGCTCGTGAGGAGGGACACCTGTGGGGGGCCGGGCAGGGTTGGGAGATTCAGGGGGTCTCTGGCAGGTGGGGCAGTGGGCAGGAGACTCGTCCTGCGGGGTCAGGCGAGGCAAGGTGAGGCAGGGCGGGGATGCCATTGTCACAGGGCAAGGTGAGGCAGGGGCCGGGGCGGCTGCTACCTGACACCATCAGCCCCTGCACACAGAGGTCAGAGAGTGCATGGGTGCTGGGATGCATCCGGCCATGTGGGACCTCGGCGGGTTAGCAGGAGGCTGGTTGAAGAGGGATGGTTGCCATCTCCGGGGCATGGCGCGCGTGCCCACAGAGAGGGCTCTGAGTGACGCCTCTGGCACGCGTGCCATAGGTTCGCCACCACTGGTATAGAAAAACTCAAAAGAGGTCGTGCAGGATTGGAAGATGTTGGGAGACCTGGCCCACAGAATTGCCAAGAGTCGGATACAATTGAATGGATAACATCATTGCCATCACCATCATCATCACCACCATCACTGCGCACAAGCTCTCACCTCTTCTGGATGAGGTAGTCTTCCAGGATGTCCAGGCAACGGACCATCTGGGAAAAAATCAGCACCTTGTGCCCTCCGGCTTTCAGTTTGGGAAGCAGCTTATCAATCAGCACCAATTTCCCAGAGGAACGCACCATGGCCTGTAAGGGGAAGTCATGGGGCACGTGGTGGTGGCAGGAATCCCGAAACTCGGTCAAGATCTTCTCCTCGGCACCTGGTTTGGAGGAGAAAGAAACCCAAATGAAGAAATTATCCACATTTCGTGTGTGTCTGTGTGTGTGTGAAGGGATGGGGAACCAAGCTGGAGATATTAGAATGTGCCAAGTCATTGCACATGGCACTTTGATCAAGTGATGTCCCTTGCTTGTCGTTCCTATTGACCGTTATCTAAACAGGAGATTTTCTGTGCCTAGGAAAAGATCTCGGGAGGCTTTTAAGCTCCCAAGCTAATAATATGTTTGAATTTACAGTTTGTCCTTGACTTGTGACCTTAATGGAGCCTGGATATTTCGTTATACATCGTGACAGTCACAAGTCGAGGCACCCACACAACCAATCTGAACTTTGAATCCAGGTCATAGGTTTTTGAGGTCTGTCAATACTTTGAATGGCTGCTAGATGACCAACCCGTAAAGATTATCTTTATCTTTATTTTGCAAAGAGCAGCTTCCCCTAAATCTAATTGGACACCTAATTCCCACTGCATTCTCTTAGGACTAAAGACACTTACCCATGTAGTAGGCGGCATTGCTATTATCCTTCTCATCTCCTCACCTTTCCTACTACTTTCTCCTATTATCTTATATTTTATCACTTCTTGTTTGTAACTTATGATTAATGATTTTAACTATGATTTATGATCTATGACCTATCACTTTGTTGGCTGTATGTATACTGAGAGCTTAAGCACTAGCGACAAATTCCTTGTCTGTCCAATCACACTTGGCCAATAAAAAATTCTATTCTATTCTAGGCAGCTCAATTCTTATTATCTCTGTTCTAGGCAGCTCAATTCTTCCTATTATCTCCGTTCTAGGCAGCTCAATTCTTCCATTATCTCCGTTCTAGGCAGCTCAATTTTTCCTATTATCTCCGTTCTAGGCAGCTCAATTCTTCCTATTATCTCCATTCTAGGCAGCGCAATTCTTCCTATTATCTCCATTCTAGGCAGCTCAATTCTTCCATTATCCCCGTTCTAGGCAGCTCAATTCTTCTATTATCTCTGTTCTAGGCAGCTCAATTGTTCCATTATCTCCGTTCTAGGCAGCTCAATTCTTCCATTATCTCCATTCTAGGCAGCTCAATTCTTCCATTATCTCCGTTCTAGGCAGCTCAATTGTTCCTATTATCTCCGTTCTAGGCAGCTCAATTCTTCCATTATCTCCGTTCTAGGCAGCTCAATTGTTCCTATTATCTCCGTTCTAGGCAGCTCAATTGTTCCTATTATCTCCGTTCTAGGCAGCTCAATTGTTCCTATTATCTCCGTTCTAGGCAGCTCAATTCTTCCATTATCTCTGTTCTAGGCAGCTCAATTCTTCCACTATCCACACCCCAAAAAAGTCTTTCCATTCACTCTCTGACACTTACCATTGATGAGGTAGGGGTGGTTGCAACACTTGCGTAGCTCCATCATGGTGTTGAGAAGGTTGGGCATGTTGCTGTGCCCCGCCCCCTTGGAGAGGAAGTTGAAGTTCTTCTCTAGGATGGCCCGGTAGTACTTCTTCTGGATGTTGGTCAGCTCTACCTCAATGATCGTTTCTTGCTTGGGGGCCAAATTCTTCTCAACGTCCTCCTTCAGCCGCCGGAGCATCATGGGCTTCAAGATGGCCTGCAGTTTCTGCACCTGGAGGGTGGGAGAGAGCAGTGGTTAGAGCCCTTGCCATCTCGAGATGGATCAAGCTAAGAGTAAGCTAGTTTGTCAGCAGCACGGTCTTCTTAAGTCAGATGGACTGAGAAGGATAACCATCTCCTGAAGATTGTTTACCTGGTTTTCTTTTTTTTTTTATAAAGATTTTATTGGGTTTTTTCCCCATAAACATATGTTAATTTTTCCAATCAACAAGTTGTTTGGGATTAGCTATGTTACTACCTATTCAATTCCTAATCCTTTATTCTTTCCTCTAACCAACAATAAGTCCCAAATTTGATAGTAGTGTGTCTTCTTTATCTTTCAGTCTCATAGTTAATCTGTCCATCTCTGCACATTCCAGTATTTTCCTGATTATTTCTTCTTCTGATGGCAATCCTTCATTCTTCCAGTATTGTGCGAAAATTATTCTTGCTGCTGTGGTGATGTGTAAGATTAAATAAAGACTCTGCTTATTAATCTTTTCAGACATTATACCTAGTAAAAAAAGTTCAGGTTTAAAATCCACTTGTTCACCCAATATTTTTTCTAACCACGTATGTATCTTTCTCCAATAAGCCTTAGCCTTACCACATGTCCACCAAATGTGATAGTACGTGCCTATATTATGTTTACATTTCCAACATCTATCTGACATATTTTTAAACATTTTTGCTAATCTTGCTGGTGGCAGGTGCCATCTATAAAACATTTTATACAAGTTTTCTTTATATTAAGTTGACATTGTTAGTTTGTCGTTTTTCTCCCGTAACATTTGCCATTTTTCTAGTTCTATATTATAGCCAATTGTTTTTTTGCCCATCTTATCATTCTTTCTTTCACTTGTTCGCTTTCCATTTCCAAAATTAACAAAAAATTATACATTTTCTTAATTAATTTCTCACCTGAGGTTAACAAAATCTTATCAAACACAGTTTGATCCTTATAAAATCCATACATTTTTACATCTTTTTTTATATCTACTTTGTATCTGTAAATGTGCCCACCAGGACAAGTTGATTCCCTGATTTTCCAGTTCTTGTTTAGATTTTAAATTCCCATCAGTATTTAGAATATCTCTATATGCCCATATTTTTTTCAAAATCTACCAAGTTCGGATGTACAAATGCTTCCATCGTTGATAACCCGTTTACCTGGTTTTCATGCACATTGCAGAAGTTTGAGAATGCAGATAGTGGGGGAAATAAGCCAGATTGGAAGCTAGAAGCAGCAGAAATGGGAGGTTCGGAAAGAGAAAAAAAGTGCCAATATCCTAACAGCTCCTTTTTTTTTTTACCTGCTCCTCAGTTTTGAGGTCCCCAAAGTCCTTGAGGAACTCCGATTCTGAGGGGAATTGGGAGGGTTCAAGGAAGTGCAGGAGGCTGAATAGTTCTTCCACTGTGTTCTGGAGAGGGGTGCCCGTTAATAACACTTTGTGTTCCTATACGGGAGGAAGATGGAAGAGATCGTCACAATAAGATGATGGCACTACAGTACCACAGAAAAACAAAACACCAGAGCTAGAAGGGACCTTGGAGGTCATCTAATCCAGGGCTTTTCAACCTTTTCACCCATTGTACCACTTTTAGGATACGGCAACATCCGAGGACCACCAGTCGCCTAGCAAGGTGTCAAAAACTTGATGACCCCCCCCCCCAAAAAGTGATAAAGTACAGGTAGTCCTTGACTTACAACAGTTCGCTTAGTGACTGTTCGAAGTTACAATGGCACTGAAAAAAGTAGCCCCCAAGCCACAGCCGAGCAAGACACCTGCCTGCCCACCTGGCGGCGCTCTTCCTCCTGTCCGAGGTTTTCATTGTTGTGAGCATTTCTGTTGAGGATTGGCAGCGGGGGGTGGGGTGGGGGGTGTTTGGCTTTTATCCCCCCCCCCGTCTGCTGGGTGGTTGTAGCAGGTTTTAGTCACTTCACATGACCTTGGGACACTGTGACCGTCGTAAATATGAATCAGTTGCCAAGCATCTGAATGTAAATCACAAGACCCTGGAGATGCTGCAACGTTCCAGCTGATTGGTGCTTCTTCTGGGCTCAGCAGAAGCACCCGGATCAGTGCTGCTGTCCAGCTGGAGCCTGGCGCTGATCCTGGCGCTTCCGTTGAGCCCTGACAGCCCTGCAGCTCCAGCCATCTCTCGCTCAGGCTTGTGCGGTGCTGCCACCGGTTCAGCTCATTCCCCTCCCCCTCCCACTTTTCTAGGATGGTCGTGTACCACCTGCCAGGTGCCAATGTACCACAGGTGGTACTCGTACCACTGGTTGAAAAGCCCTGATCTAATCCAATCCCCCTGCTCAGGCAGGAAACCCTATACCATTTTCAGACAAGTGGTTGTCCAATCTCTTCTTAAAAACCTCCAGCGATGGAGCACCCACAACTTCTAAAGGCAATCCGTTCCACTGATTTAATTGCTCTAACTATCAGTACTCTCCTTGATTAGTTTCCATAGAGTTGTGACTGGGCTGATCTTATGATGTTTTTGTGGAGGTCACAAGTGTGAATGCTATGGCCAATCGTTAAGTGTGAAGCCACTGTTTGTTAGGGTGCATTTCTGCTGAAAGCTGGAAGTAACTGCTAGTTTTCAGAAATCCTGAAATTATAGCAGACTCATCTATAACTTGCACTTACAATCCCAAAGTTGCAGCACACTCATCTGTATCTTGCACCTCTATAACTGCCTGGTTTGGCACACCAACCAAACAAGAGAGACACAGACTTCAACGTAGAGTTAGGACTGAAGAAAAAACAATTGCTGCCAGCCAGACTTCCATTGAGGACTTGTACATTGCACGAGCCACAAAAAGGGCTAAGAAAATATCTACAGACCCCTCACATCCAGGATAAAAACTGTTTCAACTCCTCCCCTCAGGACGCTGCTACAGGACATTGCATGCCAAAACAACTAGAGACAAAGACAGTTTTTTCCCCCCCTTAGGCCATCACTCTGCTAAACACCTAATTCCCACAGCACTGTCATATTACCCATGTAGTACAGCTGTATTACTATTATCCATCTCATCTTTCCTATTACCTTTTCCTGTGGGTATCTTATGATTATATTATTTTGTTGTTTGTGTGTACACTAAAAATATTCTCCAAGGCGCCTGAAGGCAGGACGAGAAGCAACGGATGGAAACTGATCAAGGAGAGAAGTAACCTAGAACTAAGGAGAAAGTTCCTGACAGTTAGAACAATTAACCAGTAGAACAACCTGCCTCCAGAAGCGGTGAATGCTCCAACACTGGAAGTTTTTAAGAAGAGACTGGATAGCCATTTGTCCAAAATGGTATAGGGTTTCCTACCTGAGCAGGGGGTTGAACTCGATGACCTCCAAGGTCCCTTCCAACTTTATTATCATCATCATCATCAATCATCATCATCATCATCTTATGAACCAGAGACAAATTCATTGTGTATCCAATCATACTTGGCCAATAAATGTTCTGTTCTGTTCTGTTCTGTTCTGTTCTGTTCTATTCTATTCTATTCTATTCTATTCTATTCTATTCTATTCTATTCTATTCTATTCCTTATTCTATTCTATTCTATTCTATTCTATTCTATTCTATTCTATTCTATTCTATTCCTTATTCTATTCTATTCCATTCTATTCTATTCTATTCTATTCTATTCTATTCTATTCTATTCTATTCTATTCTATTCTATTCTATTCTATTCTATTCTATTCTATTCTATTCTATTCTATTCTATTCTATTCTATTCTATTCTATTCTATTCTATTCTATTCTATTCTATTCTATTCTATTCTATTCTATTCTATTCTATTCCCAATCTCTATTCTATTCTATTCTATTCTATTTCTATTCTATTCCTAATCTCTGTTCTGTTCTATTCCAAATCTCCATTCCATTCCATTCCATTCCATTCCATTCCTAATCTCTATTCTGTTCTGTTCTATTCCTAATCTCTATTCCATTCCATTCCATCCCATCCCATCCCATCCCATCCCATCCCATCCCATCCCATCGCATTAGAAGTTTCAATGTTGAAGGAGCTCCTAAACGGGCATCCCTAAAACAGCAAATCCAACAACAGTATCCATAAACGTATTTCCCAAGCAGACAAAAACGTTTTAGCTCCTACCAGGTCCATGTGCTTGAGGCTGTCCAGAAGTTTGCAGTTGCGGTTCTTCAGGCGGTGAGCTTCATCGATGATAACACAACGCCACTCGATCTCCCTCAGCTCGGGGCAGTCCGACAGAATCATCTCGAAAGTGGTGATCAGGGCGTCAAACTTGTAGGCGCCTGGGATCAGGCGACCCTGTTGGGGGCCAGAAACGAGCAAGAAATTAAAAAAATGACGTCATTGGCAAAGCAGTTTTCTAGGCAACAGTTTGGAAGACGTGCGGCACGGTCTTCTTCTGGGATGTCGATGTCACTTGACTTACCGTGTTTCCCTGAAAATAAGACCGGGTCTTTATTTATTTATTTATTTAGCCTTCAAAAGAGACACTAGGTCTTATTTTCGGGGTAGGCCTTACCTCACCTCCGGCATCGACAGCCCCACCCAGCCGGTCCACTTCTTCTGGGGCCGAAGTTCTGCAGCTGCATTTGGGCCTGCATTTTGCAGTCAGGCCTTTGCAGAAGCAGCCGAGTACCGAGCTATGGATTCAATCCATAGCTCGGGGCTTGGCTGCTGAGGTCTTGCAGAAGCGAGTTATGGATCGAGGCCTTCCGGAAAGCCCTGTGACTTAGAAATGCAGGCCTGGCTGCAGAAGAGGCCTCAGAAGAAGTGGGCCGGTGAGGAGAGACCTGGATGCAAGGTAAGTGGGTGTGGGGCGGGTGGGGCAGCTCCACACCCTCGCCCTAGCTTGATTTTTAGGTATGTGCCTCACCCCAAAACTAGGGCTTATTTTTGGGATAGGGCAGGGGTAGGCAACCTTGGCTCTTTTATGACTCGTGGACTTCAACTCCCAGAATTCCTGAGCCAGTCATGCTGGCTCAGGAATTCTGGGAGCTGAAGTCCATGAGTCATAAAAGAGCCAAGGTTGCCTACCCCTGGGATAGGGCTTATATTAGGTCCACGCCCCCCAAAAATCAAGGTAGGGCTTATTGTTGGTATAGGCCTATGGTGGTGAACCTATGGCACGCGTGCCACAGGTGGCATGCAGAGCCCTCTCTGTGGGCACGCGCGCCGTCGCTCCAGTTCTAGGCCTTCAGCTGGGTTTTTATAAAACCTTTTTGCTTTAGGCCTCTGACGCCGTGTGCAAAAAAAAAAAAAAGAATCAATCAATCAATTTCAGCTTCTCGCGGGAAAAAAAAAGATCTCGCAAAAGTTGGAATTGATTGATTGAACTTTTTAGTCCCACCCAGTCTGCCTTTACCACCTCAGCCACGCCCACCCAATGGGCCACGCCCACCCGGCATACGACGATACATAAGTGGATTTGGGGTTGCAGTTTGGGCACTTGGTCTCTAAAAGGTTTGCCATCACTGGCATAGGCCTTACTTTCGGGGAAATACGGTACTTAACAACTGCAGTGATGATTAGCTTAAACAAAAAAAGGCTGCAAAAATGGGCACGACTTGGTTAATAACAGTCTTGCTTAACAACAGAAACTCTGGTCGCGACTGTGGTCGTTTAAGTCGAGGACTACCTGTATATTGTGATCTTCCCCCTCCCGTCTCAGCCAAAAGTTCCTCTGCATTGCCTGATGGGTCCAAAAGTCTCCCCACACCCTACCCGGGAATCCTTGCAGTACATCTCATATTGTTGAATCATCTGGCGGGATGCCAAGCTGCCGTGGTACACAATTGTGTTCATCTCGGTCCAGGTGTTGAATTCCCGTTCCCAGTTGGTGATGGTGGACAGAGGGGCAATGACCAGGAAGGGCCCCCGGATTCCCACGTTGTAAACTTCCTCCAAGAAGGCGATGGATTGGATGGTTTTACCCAACCCCATTTCGTCGGCCAGAATGCAGTTTTGCCTGTTGAGAGGGAGCGAAGCAAAGGATGAGCTGGAGGTACGATTGGAAAGGGGGTAGACGTGTTTGCACCAAACCCTCAAACCCAACCCCCCTGTCAATTCGAAATGGAATGAAATACAATAAGGAGGAATATCTATGGAGATTCTCAAATCAACCAGACCATGTCCCAAAGATGCTTTTTCAGGAGACAACTGGACTTTCTTGTTTTTCTTTGAAGACGTTTCGCTTCTCATCCAAGAAGCTTCTTCGTCTCTGACTGGATGGTGGGGAATGGAAGGATTTATACTCCTTGCAGACAGCTGGTCATTTGCCTTCTTTTAGCGAGTCATTGAGGCCACTTGTAGGTTTATCTGTGTCCTCAAGGTCACCTGAGTGGGGTCAAATGGGTATGGAGCCTTCGTGGAACTGCTGAAAGGATTGTGTTGTTGTAGACTGGAGATAGATGATGCCAGTTGAGAGAGGGCTGTTCAGTTTTGACGTAGATGGCCTCTTTGACCCCTCTTTCAAGCCAGCAGTCCTCTCTGTCCAAAATGTGGACAGAGGGATACAATATCATCTATCTCCAGTCTACAACACAGTCCTTTCAACAGTTCCAAGAAGGAACTGGATGATGGAGAATGAAGGATTTATACTCCTTGAAGTATGTGTGGGACAGCTATGACCTGGGTGACTGAGAATCTCCATAGACATCCAGTTTTGTTTCCCACTCGGGACAAAGGGCTACTGTGTTCTGAATTTGAAGCCAACCATTTCAACCTTGAGTTATATTATTTTACATCCCTCCTTCCGTTAATGATACTATGATTAAGAATTCTCTGCCGTTGGTTTTGGAAAAACACCACTCAAAATAATGAGTGGGTAGCAATAGCACTTAGACTTATATACCTTTTCACAGTGCTTTACAGCCCTCTCTATAAGGGGTTTACAGAGTCAGCATATTGCCCCCTATACAATCTGGATCCTCATTTTACCAACCTCGGAAGGATGGAAGGCTGAGTCAACCTTGAGCCGGTCAGGATCGAACTCCTGGCAGTGGACAGAGTTGACTTGCAATACCGCATTCTAACCACTGTGCCACCACGGCTCCTGGCCACAGCTCGAAATCCCAGCCTTCAGAACCGACAACGGATTTTTTCCCCTAACCAACCTGCGTTTCTCCTGTGGGCTTTCCTGCCCGTAGCCTCACCTATTGTACCAGTTGAAAAGTAACCAGTTTACGCCCTCCAGCTGATATTCACGCAACTGATTGCCGTTCTTGTACTCGTGCGAAAGTTCCAGCTTTTTCCAGGAGCCTGCCTGGGGTCGAGCCTAAGGAATAAAGGTTTACAATTAGGCACCAAATATGTCAAATGAGGGAAAACTTTTGTCGAACTGGCTGAATGCCAACGGAAGGGTATTTCTGATTCTGTGGTTAAGGTTACACTTCATTCGTTTGTGTCACTAATTCTGCGAGCTACCCTCTTATAAAAGAAATTCAGCTCCTGCAAGTTTCTTCTCCTCCTTCTTGTTTTGTCTCCTATTTTATGTTACTGTATGAAACAAAGATGTTTTAACCAGAGAAACCACATAGGGAGTTTTGCATCATGATATGGTCTGCCAAGTTCTGTACTCCTTTCTTTCTTTCTTTCTTTCTTTCTTTCTTTCTTTCTTTCTTTCTTTCTTTCTTTCTTTCTTTCTTTCTTTCTCTTTCTTTTTCTTTCTTTCTTTCTTTCTTTCTCTTTCCTTCCCTTTTTCTTTTCTTCCTTTCCTTTCTTTTCCTTCTTTCCCTTTCTTTCTTTTTCTTTCTCTCTCTCTCTCTTTCTTTCTTTTTCTTTCCTCCTTCCTTCCTTTCTCATCTTATTTTTACAAATAAACCAAGATGACAAACATATCCAACATGCCTTTCTCTTTCTATTTTCCCCACAACAACCCTGAGAGATGAGTTGGGCTCCGAGAGTGACAGATCCAAAGTCACCTAGCTGGCTTTCATGCTTAAGGAGGGACTAGAACTCACAGTCCCCTGGTGATTGGCCCAAAATCACTCAGTCAGCTTTCATGCCTAGGGTGGGACTAGAACTCAGTCTCCTAGCGACTGGCCCAAAATCACTCAGTCAGCTTTCATGACTAGGGCGGGACTAAACTGATTGGCCCAAAATCACTCAGCCAGTTTTCATGCCTAGGGCGGGACTACTAGAACTCACCCAGCCGGCTTTCATGGCTAAGATGAGACTAGAATTCACTAATTAAAGAAAAGCCTGGAGAGAATACCACTACTAATAATAAAAACTACCACTTATTAAATCTGCAATGGACTTTGGTTTTCCTTTCCTCCCTGTTCTGCAATATTGAGAAGGTACCAGGGATCAGTTAAGTGTTTGTTTTTTTTCCAGTACCAAGGAGAGTTAGAAATCTCTCTGCCACGTGTAAAAAGGAGTAAGTATCCAAACACAAGACATGGTTCCAGAATTCTACTGGACAAAACTAGAAGGTCAAGTCAGCAGAGCAGATAAGGCCAAGACTTTTGAACCTGGGGAATAAGTTGCCACTCACCACCCGTTTGAGCTCGGGGTGCCTGGACTGGATGCGTTTGAACTCTCGGACCTTCCCTTCGTCCACGTCTTCTTTCAGCTCCCATGTGCTGTCTTCATAAGGGAGCGAACACCACTTTACCAGGTAATAGATCACGGGCTACACAATGTTTGCAGGAGGGAGGGAGGGAGGGAGAGAGAGAGAGACAGAGACACAGAGAGAGACAGAGACACAGAGACAGACAGAGACAGACAGATAGAGAGACAGAGAGAGAGACAGACAGACAGAGACACAGAGAGAGACAGAGAGAGAGAGAGAGACAGAGAGACACACACAGAGAGAGAGAGAGAGACAGACAGAGTGACAGAGAGACACACAGAGAGAGAGACAGAGAGAGAGAAGACAGACAGAGAGACACAGAGACAGACAGACAGAGAGACAGACAGAGACACACACACACAGAGAGAGACAGAGACACAGAGAGTGAGAGACAGAGAGAGAGACAGACAGAGAGACACAGAGAGAGACACAGAGAGAGACAGACAGAGAGAGACACACAGAGAGAGAGACAGAGAGACAGACAGACAGAGACAAGAGAGAGACAGAGAGAGAGAGAGAAAGAGAGAGACAGAGAAAGAGACAGAGAGAGAGAGACACAGAGACAGAGAGAGACACAGAGAGACAGAGAAACAGACAGAGAGAGAGACAGAGAGAGAAAGAGACAGAGACACAGAGAGAGACAGACAGACAGAGACAGAGAGACAGAGAGAGACAGAGACACACAAGCACACACACACACACACACACAGACACAGAGAGAGAGAGAGAGAGAGAGAGAGAGAGAGAGAGAGAGAGAGAGAGAGAGAGAGAGAGATATGCAAGTACAGCTTTAGTCTTGTTTATTCATTTGTTCAAATGGCTTTTCTCTCAAACTACCATAAACATCTCACAGAAATCCAATGTTTTAATGCAATAAAACCCCCAGGATCAAAGCAAATTAAATATAACGAAAACATGGACCGGCATCAAGGGCAGAAAAGACGTCTCGTTAGCAAAACCAGGAATGTAGCAAAAGGGTGCTCTGTTTAGGTTCTGGAACACCGTCTTTATCATACTAGGCAAGCGTGTTTGAATCTTGGGGATAAGGGATGTTTGGGGACATAATCCAATATAAGCAGTCCCCCGTTTACAACCATTCATTTGATGATGGTCCGGAATTATGACAGTCTCGGAAAGAGTGTGTTTAGGGCCCGTAAAGCATTTCTGGCTGATGCAAAAACGTTGCACTACCACCCGTGGCCTTACGATTACGATCTGTGTGCTGGGCAACTGTTCACACTTATGACCAGTTTACCAAGCGCCCTATGATCATATACTCTTCATTTGCAATCTTCTCTGCTGGCTTCCTCAGGTCATTGGGGAAGCCGGCAGGAAAAGTTGCAAGCTGCCGCTGCCTGCAAAAAGGACGCCCTTTTGTTTCTGCTGACTGGCTGGTTCCTGAAGGGAGCTGAACTCCTTTGGCAGAGTGCAGAAAGAGCCCAAATTCGGAAGATTTCGGCTTCATTACTGCACCCCGCCAGCCCCCAGAGATGAGAGGAAGCCAAAATCCAGAGAGCAGAGAGTTAGTGGAGTAAGGTAAGCCGTTGTTCTGTCCCAGCCTACGTACGTCCTTGTTACTGCACAAAGACAACCCCTCTTTTAACAGTAGACTGGAAAATAAACCCTTTTTATTTGAGTTACATACCTGATAATTGTCCCAGAAAAACAAAGGCCACAGAACACTTTTCCAACGGAGCACAGAGTCAAACAGGAAATAACTCACAGACAAAATAAACAGACCAGGATCTCTTGACTCTGAAGTTCTTTGCAAATGGTTGCCTCCAGCAACCAGCCCTGCTCACACATTCCCTTTTTGTTACGCAGCCCCCAAGGCGTGGCTTCTCACTGCTTTCTCCTCTTCCCCTGGAGTCGCCCCATTGCCTCCCTCTGTCCTACTCGTGTGAACTGCCTACATCTACGAGCGTCTCTGAGGTCTTCCAGCTGTGCTTATTATTATTATTATTATTATTATTATTATTATTATTATTATTATTATTATTATTATTATTATTATTATTATTATTTCAATTTGTATCCCGCCCTTCTCCCGAAGGACTCAGGGCGGCTCACAACATTATTCTAAAAACAAAGACAACCCACAAACCCCACCGGATAAAACCAAATTAAGACCAATATTTTAGAGTTG